CACAGAGTGTTTGTTGTGGGGGAGGAAGGGGAAGGAGAATGTTGGCTGATTTGAGACTCTTTCGGGTAGTGATAAAGCGGGATATCAAATCCAAACTCCTCCTCCTCCTCCTCCTCTTCTTCTGAAATCCTGTGTGCTAGGAAGCACAATGTCAAATGTCCCTGGGCTAGAACCCTTTTTCATCTATTGAGTGAGAAGGGCTGGTAGCTTTACTCAGAGTATGCCCACTGAAATTAACAGACCTAATTTAGAGGTCTTTAAGCACAGAGAGATAATGCTGAAATTGGCAGTGTGTTCAGCTTTATATCATACATCCTAACAGATGTGGCGAGCATAATCACACTCATATACAGAACATGCAGTACGTACAGCTATGTGGGTTGTCGGTAAATACTTTCACCGATCCTGGCCAAACTGCACCAGCTGCTGCTTAGTTTGCAGGCCCAGTTGAGTTATAAAGCCTTAAATGGCTCAGGACCACAATACCTCAGTGACGACCTCTCCCCAAGCGTCCGGGTTGCCATATGTCCAGATTTTCCAGACATGTCCTCTTTTATTTTGGGGGGGGGGTAGGGGGGATAAAATGTGGGTCCGGGGGGATTTTTTTAATCTTGGCAAAATGTCCATTTTATTCTATTTTTTGGTAGCAGACTCCCGCTCCCCAGCTGAGCCAGCCTTGGTGCGAGGCTGGCTGGAGCATTGAGACCCTATTGCGCAAAAAATGAGGTCCTGCATATCTATCTATCTATCTATCTATCTATCTATCTATATGACGCACACACACAAATACACACACACACACACACACACACACATACAGTGGAACCTCGGGTTAAGTACTTAGTTCGTTTCGGAGGTCCGTTCTTAACCTGAAACTGTTCATAACCTGAAGGACCACTTTAGCTAATGGGGCCTCCTGCTGCCACCGCGCCACCGGAGCACGATTTCTGTTCTTATCCTGAAGCAAAGTTCTTAACCTGAAGCACTATTTCTGGGTTAGCAGAGTCTGTAACCTGAAGCGTATGTAACCTGAAGCATATGTAACCCGAGGTACCACTGTACACACATACACATACATATGTATATGTGTGTGTGTGTACATGTATGTGTCTATATATGTGTGTGTGTCCTCTTTTTTGCTCTTCCAAATATGGGAACTCTAACTTTAAACCTGCACAACTTGAGACCAGGTTACCTGAGGGGACCCCCCCCACACAAAATCCTTGCCTTAGGTGGAGCTCTGCTGAGAGTACCACATGCCCCCAAGGTGTATTAAGTTTGTATGAGAAATCAGGATTTTATTTATGCAGCTTAATTCTCTGGAATCAGTTACCAGCTGAAAGGAAGGATACATGTGCCTGGTGTCTTTACATTTATGAGGCTACTGAAAATTTATTCTCTCTCTCTCTCTCCCTCCCTCTCTCTTTTTAAAAAAGAGGGCTTTCCCTGACGTGTGACCCAGTCATTTTATAGAATATTAATTGCAGAAATAGTTTTTTGTTTTTTAGAAGTTTTGCCTCAGGTTGTTCATAAATCAGTAAATCAAATAATGAATAAATGAATTCACTGAAACGCTCTGGAACAAGCAATTGGGGGCTTTGCAGGAATTGCTGAGGGCGAGGGGTCTGCCTTAATTGGCCAGTCTTCACTTATGCTTTTTGGTTCATCAGCGATATAAAGCAGCTTGCTTGAGGCAAAAATTCTGTTTAGACAGTAGCTAAATTGGTGTTGTTGCATGGAATGACTTCAACTTGTGCACTTTTCTTGACAACAAATACAACTAACTAGCCCAAATGCAATGCCCTTATTAATAAGCTGAAGTGTCAATACCCTGGGAGTCAATTATTTCTGAACTGACTGCAGTGTCCCGTATGTTTTATTTCCTGTTCTACTCTTCACTCATTTCAGCGTTAAATAGATGAGATACAGCACAATCCTCTGCATTCCTACTCAGAAGTAAGGCATGGTGTGTTTGTTCACTGGGCTTAACAAGAATGTTTAGATTGCAGCTGAGGAATTGGTTAAGATCTTCACCTGTATCCTAGCAAGTAGAGAAAAATATAGGTGAAAGCTCCACTTAATTACTGAATGATAATTTGTATATGTGTGTGTGTGTTGAGGGGAGGGGAATATAATAGCATTTTTCAAAATAGGAGGAGATGCTATTTTTATTTTTATTTTGTCCTAGATCTCAGGGCAGTTCACAACAGCCTACTGCCCCAAAGACTGCAAGGAGTGTGTGTGTGTGTGTGTGTGTGTGTGTGTGTGTGTGTGAAATCAGGCCTGAGAAAAAATGCACTTTCATTGTTGTAATGGTTTTAGGATTGAAATGGGCTCTTGTATTTTAAGTTTTGATTGCTCTGAGCTGCCTTGTGGGCCCCTTGACTAGGAAAGTAGAGTGTAAATGGCAATGGAAAACAACAACAACAACAACCAGTTAAAAGATATAAATGAAATTCCCACGACTGATCTGCCTAGGAATTATGCTCGCTATGACTATCCTAGTGTGGGTCAAACACATCGATTGAGCGGATGTGTTTCTGGAGACTAGCACAGAAAGCTGATCAAGTCAGAGGGAAATTTTCCTCTGTATAGCAAGAAACTATACATAGAGGAACTTCGCAGAGCATTTGTTCCCTTTGATTTCATGAGATGTAATCTAGTGCAATGCTGTTGAAGAACACTTCCCACATGTTCCTTGGGGCAGTGCAGCTGATCATGTCTCAATGGCACACTTTTCTATGGAAGAGACTGAATGTTGCTCCACATTCATCTTAGAAGCCCCAAGTCATCTTTGCATATACACTTGTGTTCTTTTCCCCTTTGCTGTATAAACAGAATGGAGGCCTGCACCTCTAAGGCAAACAAGAAGGCACCTTCCTGCCTTCCTACTGCATGGCCTGCCAAGAAACCCTTCTAACCTCCTCCTTCTTACCCTGGGTTGTCAGATCTATGCACTCCTGTAACGTTATTGTGCTTGATCCCAATTGTAGCACTTAAGGTCTTTCTTTATTCCATGGGTAGGCAAACTAAGGCCCGGGTGCCGGATCTGGCCCAATCACTTTCTAAATCCGGCCCGCAGCCGGTCCAAGAATCAGCATGCTTTTACATAAGTAGAATGTGTCCTTTTATTTAAAATGCATCTCTGGGTTATTTGTGGGGCATAGGAATTCATTCATTTCCCCCCCCCCCAAAAAAAAATATATAGTCTGGCCCACCGCATGGTCTGAGGGACAATGGACCAGCCCCCTGCTGAAAAGGTTTGCTGACCCCTGCTTTTTATTCCCTCTTACTTGGATAGTGAGGGACGCGGGTGGCGCTGTGGGTTAAACCACAGAGACTAGGGCTTGCCGATCAGAAGGTCGGCGGTTCGAATCGCCGTGACGGGGTGAGCTCCCGTTGTTTGGTCCCTGCTCCTGCCAACCTAGCAGTTCGAAAGCACATCAAAGTGCAAGTAGATAAATAGGTACCGCTCCGGCGGGAAGGTAAACGGCTTTTCTGTGTGCTGCTCTGGTTCGCCAGAAGTGGCTTAGTCATGCTGGCCACATGACCCGGAAGCTGTACGCTGGCTCCCTCGGCCAATAAAGTGAGATGAGCACCGTAACCCCAGAGCTGGTCACGACTGGACCTAATGGTCAGATGTCCCTTTACCTTACTTGGGTAGTGGGGATTTTTTTTAAAGGAAGACTTTACCATTGACCCTCCAGATGTTGCTGAATCACAACTCCCATCATCCCTGGCTACTGGCCATGCTTGCTGGGGCTGATGAGAGCTGTAGTTCAGCATTACCTTGACAGCCAGTGGTTTCACACTCATGTCTTACAGCAAGGATGAGCAAACTATAGTCTATGGGCCACATCTAGCCCATGGGACCTTTTCCTTGGTTCTTGGGGAACCAGCCAACTGATGTGGACTCTGATGACTTATCCAGACCATAGAGAGAACCTCTTTAAAAAGGTGCTAGTGTAGAACAACAATCACAGTCCAGCCTATGGAGCAATGGGGATGTAATGTCCTTAGATGCCTCCTAAGAGGATGGATTCCACTTGGAGGCATGCACTGCCTTCACCACTATTTCTGCCTCACTGGGTGGATGCTGAAAAGTCCGTCCCCCCCTTTCTGCTTTACAAGGTTAGTTTCCATTTATACATGTGTTTGTTTTGTTATCTTTTTCCAATGAGGCCAGACATGGCCTGAATCATGTCTCCCTCTCTCCCTCTTCAATTTTAGATTGGAAACACTGAAAGCTTACAGTCACTTTTTTTTAAGGGGGGGGAATCCGCTCGTTTGATTACAGTTGTACAAGTAAATATTTTAGAAGAGGAGCCGTGATCATGCAGGCAGTGTAGTTCCTTGGGGTTCCCCCCCCCCCAAGACATTTTGCTGCCTGAAGCGAAGGACAATATGTTGCTCCCTTGCCACACTGCATAAAGGAGCTGGACTGACAGCTGAATCCTGTTTAGAAACAGGGCAGCAGCCTCCACGAACCCTGAGGGTACTAGGCTGGTTTAGTCATTGCAGAGCAGGTCATGTCTTCCAGCAGAGGCAAACCACTGAGGGGTTCTGCTACCCCCAAACCTCCTGCATTCACTGCCCAATTCAGTCACCTCACTTTACCCAATGATAGGACCGGCCCTGCAAGTTCCACAGCAATATGAACCCTAAATGACCTCTTAGTACAAGTTGCATGTGTGTGAACTCTCCTGTTTCTCCCCCTCTGTCAACCACTTCTAAGCCAAAGCAGTGGAAAATGTTTTCTTCCAGATGGTGCGGGTGTAGCTATTGTCATGAATTCCTCATGAACAGGAGCATTAACAGCTGCAGGGGCCACTCATACATCTGTATAGCCATCAAAATGAAAGATGAAGCCATAAATCCATGTGCCTCATTCAGTTCATGCACTAGAATTATATCTGGGGCACTTGGGTCTGTTGACAGGCAAGACTGACGTGTTCAGTGGTGGTGCATGCAAAAGAGGTTGCTCTGCTTGGCCACTTAGTCCTGGGATAGCTCATTCAGTAAAGCATGAGACTCTCCATCTCAGGGCCATGGGTTTGAGTCCCACATTCAGTGAAAGATTCCTGCATTGCAGGAGATTGGACTAGATGATCCTCAGGGTCCCTTCCAACACTACAATTCTATGATTCTATGATTCTGAAGTGGATGGGGGCCTTTGTTACTGGAGGGTGCTGGTTGTCTATATCAGAGGCAGGGATCAGACCAGGGCTACCCAGTGCATGTACCACATCTGGAGCATGTGTGTCAAATTATTGCCATCATCAACCCATGTGCGGTGCTGTTCAGCACTCTCTAGGTATGATGCCTACAATGCATCATGTCCCACCATCTGCTATTCGATTGCTTGGTGGTAGTAGAGCCTGTGAATTGACTGAGGTTTCACAGTAAGGGAAGATTCATCACTTACTGAGTTTGCCAGTGTGGTGTAGTGGTTAAGAGCAGTGGACTCGTAATCTGGTGAACCAGGTTCGCTTCCCTGCTCCTCCACATGCAGCTGCTGGGTGACCTTGGGCTAGTCACACTTCTCTGAAGTCTCTCAGCCCCACTCACCTCACAGAGTGTTTGTTGTGGGGGAGGAAGGGAAAGGAGATTGTTAACCGCTTTGAGACTCCCTAGCGTAGTGATATCAAATCCAAACTCTTCTCTTCTTCTCTTACTGGTAGCAGCCAGAATATATATTCACACATACCCTTGTGTGCATCGCCCCTAGTTAGGTTGCTCCTATTTTGAGCTGTTCTATATTATTTTGAACATTGTGTTATTCTGACCATGGGAAATTCAATCCTTAGCATCCCCAGCTAGGGCTCAGAAGGACTTCCTGCCTGAAATCCTGAAGACCCACTGCCAGTCAGTGTAGACAGCACTGAGGTGGATGGACCAGTGTTCTCACTCAAGGCACCTTCCTTCCTTCCTTCCTTCCTTCCTTCCTTCCTTCCTTCCTTCCTTCCTGCCTTCCATGTTCCTACCCCCCCCCCCAGTTTTGCATGCATTCTTAGTCCACATTCTGTCAACCCATACGCCTGCATGCACACTGAATTACCCCCAAAGACTGGCTCTGTTGGCAAATAATTGCATTTAAGCTCTTAGTTCAGATGGTCTATGAGGCAGTTTCATTGCTGAAGCAAAGCAGGTCTGGGGCTGGTCAATGCCTGGATGGGAGAGCATCCTGGGAGACCCATGTACACCAGCTTGGATTTCTTGTTGGAAGGAAGGTGGAATATAAAACATACCAAACAAACAAATAATTCAGTTGTCACAGATAGCACTTTTTGCATTTCTTGGCCATTTGATCCCAGCCTTTACATTCTCTCTCCCCACTACCCTACAACTTAACACCTATGACAACATCAGATAACACTTAACGCATATGATGATGTGAGCTCTGGCTAATTATAGCCTGTGCTGTCATACGGCGCTAGTCTTCAAGGGTTTTCTTGTGTTTGTGTGTGTGTGTTTGCATTTGGTGAGGAAATTCTGCCAACATTACATTCCGAGTGAGGTGCAGATGCATTTGTTTTTGTAGCATGGCATGAATGAACAGAGCTCCTCTGGTAGTCAAAATGTTCTTTATGTCACTGTAGAAAAGGAACGTTTGGCATTCAGCAATCAAACAGTGTTGCTTATCAAGGGCATGATATTTGCATGATAAAGGATAAATTTACTCTTATAACTCCCTAGGGCAAATACCCTTTTTGACTTAGGACCCTTGGATCTTGTTGACTGAGGGGGGGGGTGAAGATTAAACATTTAGCCACCAGCCCCAAACCTGGTGCCATTTCAACTTTTTGCTTGAATTGTTAAAGCTGCATTGCTAATCCCCCTCCAGGCCCAAGTTTTGTGTCTATCTTTCCATCTCATCCATTCAGTAAGTAAAGTGTCTATTCAGAGGCCAGTGGGAAGAATCCTTTCTGAAACACAACACTTAGCTTTCTGTTCTTTGTGGTTGCTGATGTTGGTGATCCTAAATACCGTATTTTTCGCTCTATAAGATGCACTCTTTCCCTCCTAAAAAGTAAGGAGAAATGTGTGTGCATCTTATGGAGCGAATACAGGCTGCGCAGCTATCCCAGAAGCCAAAACAGCGAGAGGGATCACTGCGCAGCGCTCCCTCTTGCTCTTCTTGCTTCTGGCTTAGCCCCTTAGTCCCTTCCCCCACCTCCCGGAAAAGCCCCTTTAAAGAGCCGCATGGAGTTTCCCAAGGATGGAAAAGCCTGCAAGTGTCGCACACACGCTCCACACAGAAATACCACACTGAGCTGTTTTCTGGGGAATTGAAATGACAGCTTCCTACCCAACACTGCTCAGAAAATTGCTGCTGCTATTGCCACCACCAGCAACCACATGCTGACTGCACTTCCCTGTCCAGCAGCCAGTATCCCGGGATATATCCTAGCCCTGCCTGGAAAATGCTGATCAGCTGAAGATATCTTTGCTATAGCCATGTCTTCTTTTTTCCTTGTTCTTTCTATTTCCCTGGATAATTTGGGAGGGCTCTTGAGAGCAGGAGAAAGGGGCTGGGGATTTGTAGCACTCGCTCACAGTGCTTGCAAAGGACCAGACTCTTTCAGGGCCAACAATGAGATGCTTGTTTATCACTATCTGAGATCAGTCGTCACCTCCCACCAGTCTTACTGGGGAGTCCTCTGCAGAGTGGCTCAGAATAGCCAAGTTATTGTCACCATCCCTGCTAGCAAGCAGTTGTGCTTTCCCCCCATGGTGCAGATCTGCAATCCTGGAAAATGCCTTGCAACAGATACGCAGTTGAATGAGTCTACATCAGGGGTGAGGAAAATTGTGTCTGCCAGATAGTAGTGGACTTCAGCTGCCATTATCCCTGACCACTGAACATACTGGCTGGAGTTAAAGGTAGTTGAAATCCCGCGAGATCTTGGGGGTTGGGAAGCACAGGTTCTCCATTGTTGGGTATAGTAATGATAATAATAATAATAATAATAATTTTATTATCTATACCCTGCTCATCTGGCTGGGTTTCCCCAGCCACTCTGGGCAGCTCCCAATCGAATATTCAAAACACGATACAGCATTAAACATTAAAAACTTCCCTGGAATATTCCCAGGAATAAACCTGAAATAGTATGTGAATCCACAACCTTCATAGGTGCCGTTGATCAACTGATCAAGTTCTATTGCGTTACATTTTTGTTGTGCTGCTAGACCAGGCTAATGTCTATTGATTTCTCATTTATTGGGACCAGATGAATGGGTTCAGAATCCTCAAAAATCTTTCTCAAAGGCCCCACCATTGGCACGTTGCTAATAATAATTGATTCATTCAGTGCAAGTAATAATAACTGCTGGGTGCTTATTGTTTATTATGGTGATTGGCAGCGTCAAAAGCAATGTGCCACAACTAGCAGTTTACTACAGAAGAAAGATGACTTAGTCATATCTTATAACTCGTGAAGGAAGCAGGAAGGTGTCTTGAATGCAGTGAAGTTGCATAACATACAGGGCTTCCGTTTCAGAGGCAGCACATATATGAAAACTTGTGTATAGCTAAAATTTACCTGGCTGCTAGCTGGCAGAGGGAGGGGGGAGTAGGCCCTGTGGGGAGGCCCTCCCCATGTCTCCACTGCCTCCCCTCACTCTAACATGTGCTGTGGAAGCATTGAGAGGGCTCTAGTAGGTTGCTTTCCCTCCTCTCAGGGGTGTTGTGGTGAAGAGAGAGTGCTGAGCAGCAACCTGGCTCCCCCTGCTGTGGTGATCGATGTCTGGCGGGAAATGGCAGTGGGTGATCGGCTTTGCCGTCAGCAGCAGCCTCCCGGGCAACTGTTGAAACAGAAAAAGGGGAGAGAGAAAAGCAAAGCTGAAATGGAGAGGAGGCGGCGGGAGGCAGACAGACACGGGGAGAGACAGGCAGAAGAAAATGGGTGGAAAGGATCTGGAGTGCTGCATTGAACACAAATATTTGAACTCACACAAGTTAAACTTGCATGTGATGCAACTACGCTGTGTGGTGTAATGGTTAAGAGCAGCGGACTTGTAATCTGGTGAACCAGGTTCGCGTCTCCGCTCCTCCACATGCAGCTGCTGGGTGACCTTGGGCTAGTCACACTTCTCTAAAGTCTCTCAGCCCCACTCACCTCACAGAGTGTTTGTTGTGGGGGGGGGGGGGAGGCAGGGCCTTGCAGAGGCCCAGGCTAGGTAGATAATGTGCCCTCCCCTTTTTTTACCCTGGGGATAACTGAAGTTTTATAAATAGTAAGTATATAAATAATTTTCAAAAAAGTTATGCTGACAAATAATTTTATTTCAAGGCTTGAACCGTATTTGCATATAGATAATGGAAAATATAGATAAATATGCTGACCGAGCCCCCCTTTGGAATCAGAGGCTCGAGCCAAGTGGTCCATATGGCCCCCCTCTGTCTGGGCCTGGGGGGAGGAAGGGAAAAGGAGATTGTTAGCTGCTTTGAGACTCCTTAGGGTAGTGATAAAGCAGGATATCAAATCCAAATCCAAATTCTCAGACAGGGCTTGAAAATTTGCAGCAAAGCTATCAGACTGGCTCCACTTTTTGTGTTGAAAGCTGTTGGTTTTTTTTAAAAGCTCAATGAATCTCATCACATTTAAAAATCCCATACATTGCAATTACCGTATTTTTTGCTCTATAAGACTCACTTTTCCCCTCCTAAAAAGTAAGGGGAAATTTGTGTGCGTCTTATGGCGTGAATGCAGGCTGCGCAGCTATCCCAGAAGCCAGAACAGCAAGAGGGATTGCTGCTTTCACTGCGCAGCGATCCCTCTTGCTGTTCTGGCTTCTGAGATTCAGAATATTTTTTTTCTTGTTTTCCTCCTCCAAAAACTAGGTGCGTCTTGTGGTCTGGTGCGTCTTATAGAGCGAAAAATATGGTATATACATATCTACTTAGAAGCAAGTCCCATGGAGTTGAACTTCCTCTTAACCGTGTAGAGGATTACCGTGCGGAGATCTTTCCCCACCAATCACGCTCTTGCTGTCCCTTCTTCATATCATGCCCTCCTTCTGAAATAGCTGAAGGCTGCTTTGCAATGTCACCCTCTTGCCGTGCGTACT